GCTTCATAAACTTCCTAACAATTCGCGAATCGTGAAGTGCTGTATCTGGTTTGTGCTGGTGAAAGTTTTTTTTTAGAAAAATGTGAAAGTGGTCTCCATAATTCTTGATCTTTCTGTTGTAAAACTGCTCCTATAGCCTGTTGTTGATCCACGCTGAGCAACGTCAACGTGGAGAGACATTAGGTTATTTTTGGGAAGCAGAGGATATGAAAATATGCTACGCCTTCGCCGGGAATCGAACCGCGGACCTCTGGAGTACCGGCCCAGCGTGCAGAACCACTACACACCACGAAGGCAGGCTAGGAAAGAGGGAAAAATACCTTATAAACGTAGAGTGATAATAGTTTAGATGCGGAAGGATACTGCAAAATTTTTTGCCGAAATTAAATCATTTTTGCATTTTTGGAACACTTCGCGGGATTCTGTGGTCCAGGTTATGTAACACGTTTATCGTTTTTCTTGCTTCAAAAACCAAAAAAGAATTTAGAGGAGCTTGTATGGTCGCTGCATAAGGTAAGAAACGTTGATAAAAATTGAGCATAGCAAGATTCTTAAGTCCTTCACTGAAGATGGTACGGGTTATATCGGGATAGCGGTGACTGTGTCTGGAAGCGGTCGAACACCATCAGCGGAAGTTTCATGACCAAGAAAGGATACTCTCGGTTGGCCAAAAACGCATTTAGAAGGATTAAGACCGACACCGTACCTTTGAAAACGTTCAAAAACTGTTCTCAAATGTGGTAGGTGTTCTTGCTCTGAAGAGGAGGCGATTAAGACATCATCAAAATAAGGTACACAAAAGTCGAGGCCGATTAACATCTGATTCATGAAGCGTTGGAACGTTTGAGCAGCATTGCATGACCCGAAACTCAAATGGTCCAAAAGTCGTAATAACCACAGTTTTTGGAATATCAGCTGGGTTAACGGGCAATTGGTGATACGCCCGCCCAAGATCAAGGGTTGTAAAAATAGCTCTTCCCTCTGAAACTTGCATACAGTCTTGAATGTGAGAGACTGGGTAACGATCAGGAATTGTAGCTGCATTTAAACCGACGATAATGGCCACACCGGGCGTCAGTTACCATTTCGTTTCCGAATTAGATAGAGCCCATGAACTTTTTGAAGGACGGCAAATTCCCTGTTCTATCATGTATTGAAATTCTTCTTTGGCAGCTTTAAGCTTGTCCGGAGGTAAGCGTCTTGGTTTAGCTACAATTGGAGGTTCGGTAGTTTCAATATAATGTAGTACATCACATCGTGCTTGGGTTCGAAAATACCTATATAACTGGGCGCGTGTTTGTAGGGAATTCTCTGAGGAGTTGATGCCATGGGGAGTTACCCGAAATCAGTTTAATGCTCAAATCTTGACTAATGCGAATTACTCCTCGGAATATATCAAACGGTGATTCTTAAGATCGACAAGCAGAAAATTTTTGAAAAAAGTCAGCGCCACTAATAGGACTTGAAACAGTAGCAATAATGAATGGCCATTGGATGTTGCGGCGCAATTCTAAATCAACAGATATCAGGCGTTCATCAAAAGTTTGAATAGGAGTTCCATTTGCTACATAAAGTTGTAAGTTGGTAAGGCGCTTTTGTTCGTGAAAATGTGGTGGAATGACAGAAACATCAGCCCCGGTGTCTACAAGAAACCTCAAGTCCGAATTCTTTTCGATAACGAAAAGGCGTGCAAAATTCCGGCCGCTGTGTTCACAACTTCGAGCAACGGCCCTTCTCGTTTCCCTGGTAGTTATAACGACACGGTGGGCGGCATTTGTTTGCCTTGTTTCCAAATTTGTGGTGGTTAAAAACAAATACTCGGGTTATGAATACCCGGCTTTCATAACGTTTCCTCAGTGGGCTACGACGTGTATTTCGACCACGTGATGTGGAGCGGTTGCGCTGAAATGTTTCAGCTTGATGGCTACTAACTGAGCAACCTGTTTGGACAAATCATCAATTTGAGCCTGTAACGCCACAATAGCAGGAGCCTGCACTGCGTTTATTTGAGCTGGAATTGTCAGCTCGTGAATTTTATCAGCGGTTTCGGGAAGATTTTTAAGTGGCTTCGTACTGGCTGCTAAAATGGTTTGCATGTTAGATGGGAGCCTATTCATCCATATTGTTTTGAGAATGTTATCCGTTAGGTTACCGGCGGCTAGACATTTTACATTTTAGACAGCGATTGAGAAGGCCTCATATCACCCAACCGTAAATCGTGCAATAATTGCTTGATTCTGTCTCGGATTCTTCATAAACAGAAATTAATTTTTTTTTAAAGATTTGTATTTGTCCGTCGCCGGTGAATTCAGAATTATTTCACGAGCTGATTGCAGTACCTCTGATTCTAACGCGGCGATCGCTGTATAAATTTGAGTTTCGTCGGCAGTAATGTGACTCAACTGCGCATAAAATTGAATGAACCATAACGATGGGTCTCGGCGACAAAAAGGCGGTGGCTTGCGACTCGCGAAAATTGTAAAGCAGCATCTTTGTCATCCACTTTAGATCAATCAAATATGCACAGTAATAATATGTATAGAAAAATAATCACTATGTATATAGTGACACAGTTTCTTGGTACTTGAAATCAGAGAAATTGGCGGCTCAAATACAGTAGACGATACATATATCCGCTGAAATTATGACAGAAATATGTTTGAATCGCCGGAATGCGGCACAACGCTTGAAATGACAGGTGAAATGTCTTACTTGCATCTCATCACACTGGATAACTTACTGCTGCTCAGAATTTTGACATATAAACTCCCTATTCGTGCAAAACATTGAAGGTTGCTTATTCGTAATAAATACGTGTCACCAATTATGGTAGTACAATTTTTTGAGACAGAATCGTTAAATAATTATAACAATTGAATAGAATAAATATTTTTTTTGTTTTTGGTTGCTATGGGTTACCAGACTGGCAGAATTGAGTTGTAGTAGTAAGTTGCCACATATCTATTTATCTATAATGTATATTAAACTTTTAATTGTTTAAAAACTGTACTTTTTAAAAACACTTATATAAATATGTAAAATAAATAACACCTTTTTAACTAATTCTAGATCATCGTATGTCTGATTTTTGTCAGTCGACACAGATGCATTTCCTAATCCAAGGCTAGTGTAGTTAGGTAGTGATTATTCTTAATATATTTTTGAGTATTTTATGGCAGATTCAGCATTTTATTATTATTTGCATTATTTTCGTTATTGAGAATATATTCTATATATTATATTACTGACAAGTTTTTAAGTGGTGGGGGGGGCGCCAAAAAGGTATTTTGCCCCGGGCGCCAGTTATACTTGCTACGCCACTGAATTGAACTCACCTTCTAGATCCTAATACGTTTATCATCTGTTAAGAGAAACTCTTTTTTACAGTCTCCTGAAAAGTCTTACATGATTTAGGTGCTTCCGGTTTCTTACAGAACATTTATTACAAAAATGCAGACTGCTAAAACCATTTGTCACAATTCCTTTACACACAGATAAATCATTATCATGAAAGCTGGCTATTTTTGGGCATTTGATGGCAAGTTAAATGTTTCAAATTCTTCAAATAAAAATGAATCCCAAATTTATATTTAAATTAAGCACCATCAGTGAAAACTCAGATTTTTTTTTGTTTTGTTATAAGCAAAATTTGACTTCTTTAAGGAATGAATTTTGAAACTAGTCATTAAAGGGGACTATCGTAACATGGTGATGCCCTGCAGCATACCATGTTTAACTGAAATTCTTGCATTAGACGAATTAAATGAAGACAATTAAGATAACACGTATGCGGAAAATTGTGTTTGGGAAGGTTTTACTGTATTGTGACTTGAGTAACTAAAAAATTTTAACCAAACAAAATTCAATGGATTCATTGCCTAAGACCCACACAACATATCTTAATATAACAACATATCTTAAAATAAACTAGGCAAATATAAAATTAGGCAAAAGCGGCCCAGATTAGTATAGATTTTTAATCTATTGTTCCACTTCTTTTGGCCTAATTTTAAATTTTGCAGTGGCATACTTTTCTTGCAATCAGGTAAATGTTCGTATTCTTTTTCTTTTCTTTCTTTTTTTTTAAACACAAAAGAAAAAAGATAAATGATAAATTATTTTGACATTTTTTTTAATGTTTCAACATTTAACTATATATGCATATGGCTTTCAGAAGGCATTTTAAAATCTTTTTCCTAGATTAAAATATGCTAAATTATCCAAAAATTAATGTATCATAAAACTGAATAAATTTTAACAAATTTAACCACATGAAAAATTTTTCATATTAATTATTCGAATAAAAAAATTGGTTTTCATGAATGAAAAAGAGATTTTAACTTACATTACCTTTCTTTTTATATTTCAAAGCACATGAATTTGATTATTCTTCAAATATTTTTCATAGTTTGTCCACAGCACTGGAATATGGCATGTCCATTTTACAGAAAGTTTCAGTTACTACTTCTCATTCTGACAGAAAATTTGAATGCAATTGATAGCAAAAATTTCTTCACTTTGGTAAAGAACATGGGCAAAACTTTGATATTTTGTTTTTGAAAAATGTGATGCTACATCCTGCTTTATTTCAGCATCTGGTGCACAATCCAAAGCATTTTGAATTTTTTTTTTTTTTTTTTTTTTTTTTTGTAGCTGTCTGGTACAGCATGTAGAAAGAATTTATAGAATAAAGCTGATAGTGATCACGTAAATGTAATTAAATTAATAAAATACGATATTTTTGCCAAAAAGACAACAATTCTAGACCTGCCAGTGTTAATACAACCTATATTTACCAAAAAGGGCACACAGATCATGCTGACTAGATTCCTAGCTCTAATATTAATTCCCATGAATTAATAAATGTAAACTTAAACAAGATTTAGAGAATTACTTTAACATACTCTACTATATTCTAAAAATTTTCAATATAAGCCACAAAGCTTAAATATATATATATTCCAGTTTACAGTTTGTATACAGTAAATAAAAATAGTTCGTATATAGAATTAATTTTTTTTTTTTATTTCCTCATATATCTTATTCTACACAATTTACAAAATTACTACATAGTACAGTGCTTGTATAAACAAGAGTATGAATTAAACAAATGAGTAGTGATCTATAGCTGGAAAACAAATTTAATAAAAGTATTATTATATTAAAACATAAAATAAATATTTTCTTTATTTACAAGTTAATAAAATATTATAACGTATCACAGAGGAAAAACATTTTTTAAAAATATATGCAATTAATACCTACATTTAAAGTACATGGAATAGTTTGTGATGCAATATTGATCATACAGAAATATAAGAATAAAAAACTTACAAATAATATACAAATTGTTAATGTATTGTTCTTGGTTTTTCAGAATAAGTCTTTTCTTTCAAATATTATTACAGAAGACTGGCTACAAATTGGAATGCAAGTTCACAGCTTGATAGAATAAGATGTATGCAGCAGAAGTCTAAAAACAGTTATGAAATAAAACAATTACTCATAAAAAAAAAGAGAAAAGCATCAAATATTGAGTAACTTAATAAAGTAACTTAATGCAAAACGGAAATGAAGATAGGAAATAATGATTAGATAAGATAAGAAAACCTGGACAAGAATAAGCAAGTGGCGCCATCTGTTGGTGAAATCAGAACTAAATCATAATTTCTTTAAAGGCCGAAGGCAAATTTGCCCTGGAATTAGGATCGTTAACTAGAACAGAAAGATTTTTATGAATGTGAAATGCCTCTAGAAAATCCAGTTCTCCAATGGAAGGTGTTTTTTGAATAATTTTGGCAGCAGAAAAATTGAAAGTGTGATTTTCAGACCAACAATGTTGAGCAACAGAAGACTTCTGTGTTTCCTTTTTTCTAACATATGCCTCATGTTCCTTAACGCGAAATTTTAAGGCTCTCTTAGTTTGGCCAATGTAAATTAAACCACACTGGCAAGGAATCCTATAAATACCCCAGGAATTCATATCCGAAATGGGGTCCTTGAGTATGGAACTCGGAATTTTATTGATGGGAGAATAAACAACCCGAAAGTTAAATTTCTGCAAAATATGTGCAACTTTATAGCTAATTGATGGAAAGAAGGGAATGACAACAGAAACACACTAAAAGACACACTCTTGTTTTCGAAGATTATAAAAATTCTGTTGTCATTCCCTTCTTTCCATCAATTAGCTATAAAGTTGCACATATTTTGCAGAAATTTAACTTTCGGGTTGTTTATTCTCCCATCAATAAAATTCCGAGTTCCATACTCAAGGACCCCATTTCGGATATGAATTCCTGGGTATTTATAGGATTCCTTGCCAGTGTGGTTTAATTTACATTGGCCAAACTAAGAGAGCCTTAAAATTTCACGTCAAGGAACATGAGGCATATGTTAGAAAAAAGGAAACACAGAAGTCTTCTGTTGCTCAACATTGTTGGTCTGAAAATCACACTTTCAATTTTTCTGCTGCCAAAATTATTCAAAAAACATCTTCCATTGGAGAACTGGATTTTCTAGAGGCATTTCACATTCATAAAAATCTTTCTGTTCTAGTTAACAATCCTAATTCCAGGGCAAATTTGCCTTCGGCCTTTAAAGAAATTATGATTTAGTTCTGGTTTCACCAACAGATGGCGCCACTTGCTTATTCTTGTCCAGGTTTTCTTATCTTATCTAATCAAAGTAACTTAATGTTAAGTATTTTGAGAATATTCAGAAAGCTTCTTTTACTAAAATAAAATTTAACTCTATAATTCATTTCAGAATATTACGATTGCCTACTCATATTTAGACAAGTTAAAAAAAATTCTGATAAGACAAAAAATACAATGTTCTCTTCATTTCAACTTCAAATTAATCTATTCATCAATATAAGAAGTTTTCTTTTTTCAAAATACAATTTATAACTTACATTTAAACCAAGTTTTTAAAGATTAAAAAATATTCTGAAGAAATAAAAAACATAAGTGCTTCCATATCAACTTTTAAATCAAGTTCTAAGCAAAATTTAAGCATTATTTATGAATTCATTATTTTTGAGTTGAATATTTATGTCTCTCTAAATTTAAATGTTTATTTTAATATGTTACAGAGGACTGTGATACCTTATTACAGCATTTTAAGTTAAATATTGTTATTTCTTTGACTTCATATTTTTATTGTAGTTTTCATGCCTGAGAATTTAGTCTCCTGAAACCAAATTATTCAGAAATCATTTTATTAACTGGCATTTCCGTAACTGATAATTTAATACAAGAAGGAACTATAAATATGAGTTATGAATCATGAATTTGAAGGGAATGTTTAAATGTGAATGCTTAATATGTACTTACCATGATTATTTGAACAATGATTTAGATGATGTTAAATTATCACTACAGAAATAAAAGCAAAAACAGATACTTTTATCTGGTTAAAATTAAAATTATGAAGAACAAACATTTAAATGTAATTATCAATTGTAGACTGTTTAAAAGAGTGATAAACATATCAAATTTCAAAATCGTGAACTTGCTAGTAACTAATTTTTTTGTCAAAAAATGCTAGAAGCATTGTTACTAAAAACTCTTACTGTTTTCAAAGAAAAAATTCGGGGGGGGGGGGGCATGTACACAGAGAACTTCGTTTAAAAAAATACAGAGACTTGCACAAATTTACCTCCATATAATTTCGCTTTCTGCACCAGTCAAAATGCACATGCTATGCACACACCTGGGTTGTTATATAAACAGTTTTTGACAACAGTATGGGTTGCCACATAACTATTTCGCTAATATACTGCTTTGCCTCATGAATATTTTTTATGACCTGTTTGGTGGGAATGCAGGTAATCAGAAGGTACTGATAATCTAATGAAGATTCTTCACTGTAAAATGTAATATCCTGAATACAAACATTTCATGATTTTAAATGCAAAATTACATGTATTACATGTTGAGCAAAAAAATAAGAGAAGGGATATCAAATAAGTTTCCAAGAAAATTAGTCTACATCTGAACAATGACATTGACATGAAAATGGAAAAGCAAACACAATTCGATAAAATGCTAGTTAAGTCCCAACGTCTATTTCAATGTAACAGCCTTGGTGGGCAAGATCTTTAGGTGTGAAGTTTCCAAATAAAATGCAGAAATAGCACGACAAATACACAAAAGTTTTTAAAATATACCCAAAAGTACATAGTATTAGAAGACACACAGATGGCTAAGCAGCGATACATTTGTTTTCTTTACGTGGAACTTTTTTATAGGTTTAATCTAAAATCTGTAGATGCACTGTGATGTGTCGCGAATTTAAACCAATTGTTTTTACAGATTATTTTAAATTTTAAATATAATTATTTACACTAATAGCAAGAATTTATTTTTGATTAAAAGATTTTCTATATTCATTTTTTATTGTTAGTTTCTGATGGCCAGATTTTCGGAGCTGGTTTGGGATTTGCGAAGATATGCATGAATGCTGCTCGATTTCTCAAGCAGTTGCGAGATAAAAGAAAATTCAGAGTAGTACATATTGGTCTCATGGAATTATGATTAGCTGAAATGAATGACTAAGCACAATTTTTTCAGTGTTGATGAAAGTCTCCTTTGAATGCTAAATAAGATTTTTGTTTTTCATTTGGTGTTTGAAAGAAAGGCTTGTGGGCTTGCACCTGAACTAATACATGATCAATGGTGCAAAGGTGAAATATAGTGCAAGAATGATTGATGATGCAAGGTGATAAGTAGTTTTGGTAGAGACTGTTATCGCCATTCTTCCTACACTCTTGCAGTGGGTTAACTCATCCTAAACACTTTGGACTTACCCTTGGTCCCCTTTGTGGTAGTTCATGGCTTTGGTTTTATGCAAACATTTGCTAAGCAGTCAAGTGAAATGAGTTACGGGGAGTTCTACTGGATCATGAAATCTCTTTAGTGTCTTGGTGACCAGTGCAATCCTCAGTGAGAAATTCAGATGTTTGGGACTCAATCTGTCAATGATGATTTTTCTTGTCTTCTGTTTTAATTATTATTATAAGGATATTTGAAGTCAATGACTAGTGATGATCAGTTATTTTAATATACAGGTAACCCTCGTATAACACAGTAGATAGGTTCCTAGAAAATGGCGTGTTGTGTGAAACCATGTCGTAAGAGACCCAGAGCCAGTATAAAAAGGGGCTTACATTCAGAAAACTTATTAAAAACAAATATTTTTTTAAAATTCTACATAAGCAACTTAATTTTTATTAAACATATATATTTATGTACAACACAAAATAAAAAATATTACACATTTTAATTTAAAAGCAACTTTAGTTTAATAAATTTCTTCGCTGTCACTATAATCAACCGAGAACGTTTTTTCGGTGCAATGAGATCACTTATTTCAGTGGAAGGGTCTGCAGTCAAGAAAAATGATTCGAGATTTTCAGCTAAGGCCTTCTTTTAATTTTTTTAATGTTAAATTAGTAACTGCACAACCTTCGTCAGTGCTAGTGTTCTCAGAATCGATTTGATTTACAGCTCTGGATGCCATCTCCATCAAATCTGCTTTGTCAATTTCTTCTACTAATAAATCTTGAATGACCTCAATAGCCATCTCGACGAAATCTTCGCCTCCGATTGATTTAACTAGCTCTAATAAGCCACCAATTGCATTTTCTGACGATTCAGGCCCATTTTCTATTTCAACTGAAGAGAGCCATATCTTTCTCTAACATGCATTTAACTTTGATGCTTTCAGTTCCTTCAGAGGCAAAGATACGATATCGATACAGTGCTGTCCTGTACGTCTTCCATGCTTCAAATACATTAATTGATTTTGAATCGGTTACGTCTAAAATCCACTGTATGCTATTCTTGTGTTTTAAAGGTATAAATAATACTTTGATCCAATGATTAGAGTAACAGAGTAGTGTTAAGTGGTAGGAACAGTATTTTGACTTTGGGATGATTCAAATATTGTGGGTGACATTGCGCCTTCAAACTAAAATTTTTCTGCCTTAAATAATGCTCAGCGTCTGGCACAAGACAATTTAAAAGCCAATCTTTAGCTTTATAATCAGCTGATGTAGATTCTCCTTGAATTCTTATGCTATGAATTGCAAGACACTTTTTGAAATTTTCGAAACAACCTTTACATGCCAGAAAATCTAGCTTAACAGAGGATTTTCCATGTTCTTAAAAGTGTTTGAAAATTTTGTGTGCTTTGACATTAACATCCAACAGAATTCTTTTTTGACAGCTATCATCAATCCAAAGTGGCTTTTCTCCATCTTCTCAATTATTGTTGCCCGGAGGCAAACTGCACGTTTAATGAATGTTGAAGATCCCTGCAGTAACTGCACTTCTTATTTCGTTTTAATTTCTCTTAATAGTCCGGACTGTTGCTTCATTCAAATTAAAACATTTTCCAATGTGAAATGCCTTTCCACCTTTTAAAAGATGGTCCAAAATTTGCATCTTTACTTCTAAATAAATGAAT